GAAACTTTTTAGTTTAAGTAAATCCCATTTTTCTATCTTTGTTTCGTTGCCTCTGCTTTTCAAGTCTTAGTCATAAATTCTTTTGTCCAGAAAAATTTTCCCTAAGTATTTTTCTAGTTTTAGGTCTTACATTTTAAGTCTTTAATCCATCTTGAGTTAATTTTGTATATGGTGAGAGATAGGAGTCGAGAGTCATTTTTCTGCATATGGCTGTCCAATTTTTCTATAACCATTTATTTAAGAGGGTTTCCTTCCCTCAGTGTATGTTATTGTCAGCTTTGTCAAAGATGAATTGGCTGTAAATATGTGGCTTTATTCCAGTTTTTTCCCATTGATCTATATGTCTGTTTTATACCAGTACCATGTTGGTCTGGTTACTATAGCTTTATAAGATAATTTGAAGTCAGGTAATGTGTTGCCTCCAGCTTTGTTCTTTTTGCCCAGGATTGCTTTGGCAATTTAGGCTCTTTTTTGGCTCCATAAGAATTTCAGGGTGTTTTTTTCTAATTCTGTGAAAAATGACATTGGTGGTTTGATGGGGATTGCATTGAATCTCTATTTTGCTTTGGGCAGTGTGGTCATTTTAACAATGTCAATTTGTCCAATCCTTGAACATGGGATGTTTTCCCTTTTGTTTGTGTTCCCTTCAGTTTCTTTCATCAGTGTTTTGTGGCTTTCCTTATAGAGATTTTTCACCTCCTTGGTTAAATTTATTTCTAAGTATTTTAATTTTTTGTAGCTGTTACAAATGGGATTACCTCCTTGATTTCTTAGGTAGATTGTTATTGTTATATAAAAATGCTACTGATTTTTTGTACATTGATTTTGTATCCTATAACTTTACTGAATTGATTTATCAAGTTGAAGAATTTTTTTTGTATGATGTTTTTAGGTTTTTCTAGATATAAGATCATGTCAGCAAATAGGGAAAATTTGACTTCCTCTTTTCCAATTTGGATGCTTTTTATTTCTTTCTCTTACTTGATTGCTCTGGCTACGATTTCTGATACTATGTTGAACAGGAGTGGTGAGCTGGGCATCCTGGTCTTGTTCCAGTTCTTAGAGAAAATGTTGTTTCAGCTTTTCCTGATTCAGAATTGTTAGCTGTGGGTTTGTCATATATTGCCTTTATTATTTTAAGGTACATTCTTCCTGTGCCTAGTTTGTTGAGGGTTTTTAACAGGAAGGGATGTTGAATTTTAAGCAGTCTAAACCAGTTTACAAGGGGATGTTTATAACTGCCCTCAGGGCCTTGCAGTTTTTCTTGGTATTTTTGTGTTTATCTTAAGCAAGTGCTTTTCACCCTTAGGTGTCCATTTTCCCCTGTGGGGAACCTCTTTTTTTTTATTTTCTCAGTGGTTTGTCAATTTTGTTTATCTTTTCATAAAACCAACTTTTTGTTTCATGGATCCTTGGTATTTTTTTTAAGTCTCTATTTCATTTATTAAAACAGTTTTGATCTTTGTTATTTCTTTTCTTCTAATTTTGAATGTGGTTTGTTCTTGCTTTTCTAGTTCCTTGAGGGTACATCCTCAGATTGTTAATTTATGATCTACTTTTTTTATGTAGACATTTAGCACTATAAAATTCCCTCTTAGCACTGCCTTTGCAGTATCTGACAAGAGGTTTTGGTATGTTGTATTTTCATTTGTTTCAAAAAATTTTTTGATTTTGTTATTTACCCAAAGATTGTTCAGGAGAATGTTGTTTGTATAGTTTCCAAAGTTTCTCTTGGCATTGATTTCTAGTTTTGTTCCACTGTGGCCTGAGAATATATTTGATATGATTTAGATTTTTAAAAATTTGTTGAGACTTGTTTTGTGGCCCAACAAATGGTCTACCTTGGAGATGTTACATATGCTGTTGAAAAGAATGTATATTTTGCAGTTCTTGGATAGAGTGTTCTGTAAATGTCTGTTAGGTCCATTTGGTCTAACATCCAATTTGAGTCCAGTGTTTCTTTGTTGATTTTCTGTCTTGATCTTTCTAATACTATGAGTGGGATCTTGAAGTCCCCCACTATTTTGTATTACTGTCTATCTGTCTTTAGGCCCAGTAATATTTATTTTATGAATCTGGGTTCTCCAGTGTTGGGTACATACATATATTTAGGATATTTATATCCTCTTCCTGAATTGAAATGCTTCTAGTCAATCATTTTGAAAAAAAAAAAAAAAAGTGACGTTGTTTGTCAGCTTATAATTTACCCACTGCATGTAGTCTCTGTCTAAATTATTACTAATTCTCAATTAGTAAAGTCTGATAAGACTTACTACTTAACAAATAAGCATTTGTTACAACATCTGGAATTGAGAAGTGAAATAGATTTGTGCATCTGTAATCTTCCCATGTTTTCTTTAAAGAACACATTAGAGTTTCTCTCATGTTCTTAATTAGAGAACAAGAAATTTTCTGTCTTCTTCATGCAAGCTATTGTGGGCTAGGGAATCAGGATGTTGAAGAGAAAGGATTTGGGTAGGATTATTTTCTAGCTTCTCTGTTGTGTGTCTTTCAGCTTATTTATAAAAACCAAGGCCATGATGTATATTTGGTTACCTTTAGAAGAGATGCTGACACTGCCTGTCAGGCTAGCAGCCCATTTGGCATCCCAAACTGGAAGAATACCTGTTTTGCCCACCATTTCTTTTGTGATTCGGTGATGTTTTCCCTTGGGTGCCTGTGGCAAACAAGCACAGCAAAGCCTTCTTGTGATTGCCATGAAAACAGTTCTGAAGTATATCTGATTCTTTGTTCTTCACCCAAGTTGCTTATAGAGAACTGTGTGTAGCATTTCAACATTATGTGATTTCAGAGTTTAGTAACCTCAGGAGCAATGCCAGTCAAAACCCCTTTGTTAATATGCCTGTATGTCTTGTAGAATGTGAAATTGCCACCTCTTTCATTAGTGGGTCCTGCATGGCCGCCTATTGTTCAATAGCATCTGTACATTCCAGCTGTCCCTGCCCCACCCCCACCAAGTGCACATGCAGCACTGTGAGCTTCTCCAGAACCTTCTCCAGCCTGCATATGCTGGAAGTACTCATCTCTGCACATGTGGTAGAAGTGAAGATAGTTCACCACATAAGCTCTTTTGTGACCATTTATCACATTGTCACTTTACCAAGATTGTTTTCAAGTGCCTAATAAAAATATTCAGGAAATATGTGTTAGTGGCAGGGCTGGGACTAGAGCACCTGCCCTTGGACTTCCATTCTGTGTAGTTATTTCCAGGGCACCATGACTGCCCATGCAGTCTAATCAAGGGCAAAGCATAAGAAATATTATCCTTTTTAAAGGATAATATATTTAAGTTGCTATTTGGTAACTTTTTGATCATCCTCAGTTTCATTTTGGTGTGAAAATTAAGTTGTGAAAACAGATGTGTAAGGAGAAGCGTTAAAGATCAGCAAAGACAAAGAACACTAAGTGATCGGCAAGGGAAAGGAAGTAGGGAAATTCAGTAGCCCTCATTTTATCTATATTTTGGATTATATTTCTACTCTGATTCCTTTCTTTTGTAAATGGGAAAAATTATACTCGTAGAAGTTAAAAATGACCTGTCCAGGTTAAATTTAGTGGAAGTTATAAACCTTCCTGATTCAACATTCAGTAGTATTTCCAGTATAACACACTGGGTTCCCCTATTTGGGTAAAGAGGGTAATTTCTTCATGGAAGTTAGCTAAATCTGCAGCTAATACCACAGAGCTGTGGAGAAGATCTGAACAAAGACACTCTTAGACAATGTAGTGGGTTCCAATGAGAATTTACTCCTAGATGAATTCCTAAGTGCAGAGTAGTTCCTGGAAGAATCTCTGCAACACCACTATTGTGTCGGTGAGCTCCTTCTCTGAAAAAAAGCCACCCCCAAATTCAGTCTCTTAAAACAACCATCATTTATGTTTTACAGCAGCTAATCATTAGAATCATACCATAATATTTGTGCTTCTTTCACTGAGCTTTCTATCAGATCTTTGGAGTCCAGTGTAATTAAATCCATGTACTTCTTATGAGATGCAATATTTCTTCTCAATTTTAAGTAGACCATTTTTTAAAAGCAAAAAGAAATTTTAGTATTTTTCTCTGACCTTTATTTCACTTAAGAAGTAATGGGGCTGGGTACAGTGGCTCACGCCTGTAATCCTAGCACTCTGGAAGGCCGAGGCGGGAGGATCACTCAAGGTCAGGAATTCGAAACCGGCCTGAGCAAGAGTGAGACCCCGTCTTTTCTAAAAATAGAAAGAAATTAATTGGCCAACTAAAAATATATAGAAAATATTAGCAGGGCATGGTAGCACATGCCTATAGCTCAAGCTACTTGGGAGGCTGAGGCAGAAGGATTGCTTGAGCCCAGGATTTTGAGGTTGCTGTGAGCTAGGCTGATGCCACAACACTCTAGCCCGGGCAACAGGGTGATACTCTGACTCAAAAAAAAAGAAAAAAAGTAATGATGTTTCATCATAATGTAATCTGTATTTATTTTGCCTTTTTTAAACTTTAAGGTCTAGTGTTTTTTTTTTGTTTTGTTTTGTTTTTTGTTTTTTTTTCATTTTTTAATCATTAGTACTTTTTCTGGAGGTCTAGTGTTTTATAATTACAGATAGCAATCCTTGTGATCTTTCTACCACTGTAATGCCTCAGTTGTGAAAAACTTAAATTCAGGCATTTTAAAAAATTAAAGTGTCTTCATGTAATCTAACTATGCCATTTTTAAACTACCTGGGCACAGTGTCACCCTTAAACATTCCTGCTACCATTATCATTGGATTCAGTTTTGTTTGTGATGGAAATGTTCAAGTCTAAGTTCCCACTCACCCTTTTCTGGTCCTGATTGTTGTGAAGCACTTTTAGTGCTAAGTCTTCAAACTATGCTCAACTGTGCCCCCTTTATGTTGGCTTTTTAAGGTGGGTCCATCTGGCATTCACAGTCAGTGTGTTCTTCACTTGTGTGCTGCTTTTTGCTCCTGTTAATGATGAATCCTTGTGTCCCTTTTGTTTGCAGTGTCTCAGTTTGAAACTGAATTCTACATCAGTGGACTTGCGCCTCTCTGTGATCAGCTCGTTGTACTTTCCTACGTAAAAGAGATTTCAGAAAAAACGGTAATTATTTTCTCCCCAAATACAAAGGGATGTGGGGGTTCATTTTTAGCATGATACCCAGATCAGGTTGTATGTCAGAGGAGTCTGCTATAATTGGAGCAGGTCTTTCTGACCTATAAAATAAGGTTGGCAAAGATTACCCTGTAGACCTAACATATTTACCTTCCAGAAACTCTACTCATTGCCTGCCTTTGTTCCTTTTGCTGAGCAAAGAAGAAAGTCTTTTTTTTTTTTTCCCCATCTCTCTTGGTATTTTAGTCAAAAGGAATGAAGGATTCCTCTTGCTGAAAGGCGAAGAAACTAAGCTGACATTGTGCATTAGCAGAAATGACAGCAATGAAGTTGATCGGCTGCAACAATCAGGGTCCCTGTGGTCAGAGGGAATTACAGAAAGGGCAGTTCATTATTTCCTTTGGTCTAGACATATTTGTTTACTTCTCAGTGGTCTAGTGATCCTGACTAGATTGATAATTGCTTTGAAATGGTTTGTTGCTAACGCTCAGTTATCAATGCAAATGATGGTACATCGAAATGTGTGGCTAATAGAAAGCAGCCTATTAGATGACCTTGGAAGAAGGCTGTATACATGGCCTAGTGGAGGGGCATTCATGCCCAGTCTCCCTTTGAAGCCAGGGTTGGCCCCATTCCTAGCTTATCTTTATTGTTAGAGTCCAGGGGTCCTGCCAGCAAGAGGACAGGAGGGTGGCTTCAAGGCATAAACAAGGAGAGCTATTGTAAAGGATTTTCTTTTGGGTGCTGTATATAAAAGAAATTGCAATTGATTCTCCAGCCCTTTACAGTAAATAGGCAAGTGGGTTCTCCTTGTTTGTATCCTCTCTCTCTCTCTTTTTTTTTTTTCCTTTTCAAATGGCAAGAAATAAAATGGGAGAGAAAAACCCTGGGAGCCGTGGTTTTGAAGTAGTAGCTGCTCTTGAGCATTTCTCTGAGCGAGCACTTGCATTAGGAAGCCATCACTATAGTAACTGAAGCTCTGGGTGCCCATGTTGCTAGGCAATGAAATGCTGTAGACTTAGGTGAACACTCCAACCTACTAAAATCAATAGGGTTGGCTTCTAGCCCTATTGCAGGACATCAGTTTACTATTATTTTATTTATTTTTTGAAAATAAAGAAAAGTAGTGGCTCCCGAGGGAATAAATACAGTGCTTTTTGTTGAGGAATGTGGGGAGGATTGAAAATGTGATTGAGAGAAATAAGGAAAGAAGCAGTAAAATGAAAAAGGGAAAGTCTAATAAAAATTGACCAAAAAAGAAAGAAAGAAAACCTTTGTTAATAAAAAACAGAGACTATTAGAAGGAAATAAAAAACAAAGACAGGCCAACCTCATAGAGAAAATTAGAAAATGGACTTTTTTCAGAGGAAGAAGTGAGGGTCTTAGAGATAACTTGAAAATGTGTGTGCCAATCTGTATATTTTCTCATACACCAAAGTACACCTTAAATCCTTAAACATAAATAAACTCATAAAAAAGAGTAAGGGAGGCCAGGTGCAGTGGCCTGTACCTATAATCCTAGCACTCTGGAAGGCCAAGGCAGGAGGATCTCTTGAGGTCAGGAGTTCAAGACCAGCCTAAGCAAGAAGGAGACCCTGTCTCTACTAAAAATAGAAAAAATATTAGCTAGTCAACTAAAAATAGAAACAAAAAATTAGCCGGGCATGGTGGCTCACACCTGTATTCCCAGCTACTCAGGAGGCTGAGGCAGGAGGATCGCTTGAACCCAGGAGTTTGAGGTTGCTTTGAGCTAGGCTGACACTACAGCACTCACTCTAGCCTGGGCAAAAAAGTGAGACTCTGTCAAAAAAAAAAAAAAAAAAAAAAGACCAAGGGAATAAAGACTTTGGTCTATCTCCTGCCCTGGCTTTCTTTTTTCATATTGAAAAATTTGTTTTTATATTATTCAGTGTTATCCCCCCACATATTTTCCCTGTAATACCTTTTACATATGTGCATGTTTTCACATAGTTGCAGTCGTAGTCACATGCTACTCTGCATTACACTATTTTTATGAGCTTTTTTTCTATTCTTTCTCCATATGTGTATATAGTCTCCTCATTATCACATTTGGTAGTTGTGTACTATTCCATCTGGTTAGTACACCCTCATTTATTAAGCTGCTCCCCCAGTGTTTTACTTTTATTTCATTCATTGATAAAGCACATGTGTGTTAAGAATTGTGCTAAGCACTGGGGGTCAAAGGTCAAAACAACCAACTTCCTGTTCTTAGGAAGGTCACAGGTAAGCAGGGCTGTTTGGCCAGGGAACAAAAGGTCTAACATGAAATGAATTGCATTGCTGATGCTTTTCTTACACATATAAAGGAACTTTCTATATGGTCTAGTGAGGGCATTTTCTTTTAATTTTATTTTATTCAGCATTTTTTTTTTTACTTTGCTCTTCTGATTTTGATGTTTTCATTATTATAATAGTCAATTTTTTAAGTATCCAAATCTTATAGTTTTTTCCTCTTTTTTTCTAATTTCAAAATTGATAGATTTCCCATTTCTCCAAAAATCTGATAAATTATAGTATATATTCACTAGGGGTTTTTTTATGTGCTAGTTGATCTTTTTGTTGTTATTGTTGACAGTGTCAAAAAATAATTGATCTTTTATAGTTGCTATTTTATTTTGAATTGTTTACAATGTATGAGATACAGAGCTAGTATAATTGCTATTCAGTTAACCTCACAAAATTGGTGAAAGAAATCTAGGCTTACCCTTTTTTTTTTTTAGGAAACCTGGAGAGTTGGGTATGGTTCTCGATTTTTTTCCATTCTTTTCCTCTCGTCTGTGTCTTCCCTATATCACAATCATACTGCTTTAAGTATTGTTGTTTTGGAAAATGAATTTGAGTATATGTTTTATGACTGTATGCCAAGCACTCAAAAAGCATGAAGTTTAAGTAAAACAGACTTGATTTTAAATCCAAGGTTCACCATAAGTCCCTCTTTTCCCACAAATCCCCCAGTCTTATCATTTGTGTAACTTTAACTTAGTTAACTTTTTGATCCTTTGTTCCTTTATCTATAAAATTAGGAAGAGTAGGTACTTAATTTTGCAGGGTTAATTTAAGAATTCAAGGAGAGTAATCTCTACATAATCCCCTACTAGTAGGCTGGTTGAACTGTCACTGGTCCCGAGTAAATACCATCATCCTTCCCCTTCTGTCTTTATCTAGAGCTGTGTTGTCCAAAACTATAGTCACTAGCCATGCGTAACTGTTTAAACTAATGAAAATTAAATAACATTTAAAATTCAATTCTCAGTCACACTAATCACATTTCATGTGTTCAGTAGCCACCGTGACCAGTGTTTACTGTATTGGCAGTGCAGGTATAGAACATTTCCATCATCTCAGCAAGTTCTGATTTGGAAATGACTCTTAATCTTTGACTTTTCAGAATCATCAGCAAGGTTACTACTAGCGGCAATGATTTGGATAAAGGAGCAGTTTGTGATATTGTCTTTATTAATCCTCACATTTGTCTGGAAGAGATGTAATAAAGTTGTCTAAATACAAGGTCGCTGTCTTGAACCGACACTTCAGTGGAAGTTGAGTGGGAAGTAGTAGTACCTGTCCTCTTTATCTCATGCAAAATGTCAGAAAATAAGATAGTTTAACACTGTTTTATTTTCTGTTAAAAGGCTGCTTATGGCAGGCTGTTAGAAAGGCTTACATGTGCCAAAATGATAAAACCAAGGCAAGTATGGCTAACTGAAATTAATTTGTATAACTTATAAAAAAGTAATTAAAATGTGCCTTTCCCTCTCTTTTCCTTGCTAGGAACGGGAATACTGTGCCAGGCCTAGACTGGACATCATCCAGCCACTTCCGGAGACTTGCGAAGAGATCTCTTCTGATGCTTTGACTGTCAGAGGCTTTCAGGAGAATGAATGTAGAGATTATCATTTAGGTGAGAGAGAGCAAAGATCTGGCTCATGTGATTTCTTATACTTAAAATTTTTTTCCCCCTTCCACTTGATTTATACTAAAGGGAATTTAATTTGAGGTGCTGTAAGGAACTTAGAAAATATTTGGGCAGGCCTCTTATGTTGAAAACTAGGGCATCCAGGCCCAGAGATATTGCAGAACTTTCCTGAGCTCTGATAGTAGAAGGGAAGGGTAGAGATGAAACCAGGAACAAGATGAGGATTAGGCTCCTTGTTTTCTGTTCTTGTATTTTTTTCTATTGTCCTAACTATTTAACATGACACTTAACATTGAGCAGCGTGACTCCATGGTTGTCATATCACTCCCAACTTCATGTTCCTAGAAGGTCTGATTTGCTCTGGGATGGCAGAGACATTGTCTTTCCTGTTTGTACCTGAGTGCTCAGAGCCTGGAAGAGTCCTGGGACATAGTAGGTGTTCAGTGAATATTTTCTGAGTGTCTGGCTGAATACACATAGCCACTGCTCAGAAATAAAGGGAGAACCATTACTATTTAGTCATACCAGGGACATCTGTGGGTGTTATCATATCCTTGGAAAATATATTGATGAAAATAGAATAGTTAAGCTTTATAGAAATTCTTTTACTGCTTTAAAAGCAATCGACATTTTATGAGAATACTTACAGTTCTCATTTTGACCAAAGGAACTGAAGAAATATTCTATACATGTTTGAATTCTCTTATATGAAGCCCCTAATGAGTTGAAAAATACTGAGAGTATATTCTGGACTTGGCAAAAGTGATTCACAACCAAAAGCGTCTAATCTAAGTATTTTGCTCAGAGCAAACTCTGCTGCACATTTAAAAACCCTTCAAAACAGGTTTTATAATTGAATTCTGCAAGAAACCCTCAGATTGGCATTGTGCACAACATGCTGAAATGATAGATTATGTCCCCAGGGCTTGGGCGTCTGTCATTTATGCCTTAGGTGGCCTTGACCTTGATGAGGAGGAAACATATATCGCCAACTGTGGGGTGTAATTGTTCTGTAAAAATAGAACAGTGCTGTAAATGACCATAAATAAAGTTTATATACAGTAGATGAATTCTCATATGCAACAGACATGGAGAATTTTCAACACTTTTTCAGCCGAAGTAAGAGTTAATGTATTAAACACAGAATTTTAAACCCACCTTATTTTGTTAAGTTTTTTAGTATTTTTCTCCACTCCCTTCCCCTCCCTTGCTTCCTTCCTTTAATTTCAAATAATTTTACACTTAAACATTTTTAATAGCACTGAAATACATTCTGTCATTCTCTATCCTTTTTTCTGCCCTTTCCAACAGAGCCAAACACTTGCAACAAAGGTAGATGTATTTTCTGTTTACTCTTAGATTGGGTAGCCTAAGCAGGTTCTCTGAAACCATTGCCAAGTTTTCTGCCATCGAGTCACACAAGTTGTTCCTCTCTTGTCTCACCTTTAGAATACTCAGAAGGAGAATCACTCTTCTATATCGTGAGTCCAAGAGATGTTGTAGTGGCCAAGGAACGAGACCAAGATGATCACATTGACTGGCTTCTTGAAAAGAAGAAATATGAAGTAGTTTTGATTTTTTTGTTTCCTTGAAAGTATTGACTCATCTGTAACATAGAGAAAACAAAATATTTTTATAGTAAATCTTTTATGTAGCTGAAGTAGAGTGCCCTAAGCCAAAAATATGTAGGAGGTTAATAACTTTCTAATATACTTTTCAGAAATTAGGGAACAGAAAGATTGCAACAGGTTGACTGGCTTTAGTGTTAAATAGGGAGGAGTTGGGGATGGAGGTTAGACCCAGCCTACTGAAATTTTTATTTTGTGGTCTTAAGGAAATTAAAATAGAGTCCTCTATTTGGATATTTTAGTGAAATCGTTGATGCTTATCAAATTAATACTCACTTAGGATGGTGTGAACTACCACTTTGGATAGGTGGAAAACCTGAGGCCTCAGGACACATCTGGCCCTCCAGATTGCCAAATGCAGCCCCTCAGCCGAATCCAAATTTCACCAGCATAATCCCTTTATTAAAAGGATTTGTTCTGTAAAATTTGGATTCAGTCAAATTTTTTTTCAAAATTATTTTTCAACTTTAATAGGTACAAAGGCATTATTATATTGGTTTAGTTAAACTCTTTAGTTTAAACTCTTTATATACTAATTAGGTAAAAACAACAGCAACAAATAGTATACCTATTTGTTGCAAACAAATAGGTATACTATTTGTTGCACTGAGTTTATAAACACCTGGAAGAATTTGAAAAATAAAAAAAAAAATGTTTTCGTTTATAAACTATTTTGGAGTCCAGGTATTGATAGCTAGTTCATTACCCAGTTATGACCATGTTGCTTTAGATCCAGTAGTTTCTTAAAAAAATAATTTTGTTTTAAATATTTATGTTAAAGTAATACTTGTAAACTTTCCAAAATAAAAACAAAATCAGAGGTTTTCAGACAAGATCGGATGCGTTCAGGGTGGTATGGCCATAGACGAAAATCAGAGGTTTTCAAACACTTAATTGTAGATATACATAAACATATGCATATAGTTTACCTTTTTATTGAAACATAAAGGAAAAGTGCCCCTTTGTCAATATATGTCATATAGATTTAGATTGACAGATGCCTTTTTTTGGTGTGGAGACTAGGAGATTTTGTTGTGTTTCGATTTGTGTCTGAAATGTGATTCCAGTATCCTAATGTGGAAATGAATTCAAATGGAAATAAGAGAAGTCTTCATTTTGGTTGACTGCTTTTGTTTGAGTTTGAATTCTGTGGGGTTCATTCAACCATGGCATTAAAAATTCCAGTGCTTCAGGCAAAAGCCATGAGAAAATGGGCTTTTATTCATGTAGTCCAGAATGCGAAACATATTAGTAATATAGTGTTTATAACTTTAATATCTTTCTCTCCCACCTTCTCTCATTTTCTGTCCCTCCTCTTCTGCTCCTTTTGTCATGCTTATGTAAATATAGGAAGCTTTGATGGCAGCTGAAATTAGCCAGAGGAACATTAAAAGACATAAGATTCTGGTAAGTTTGCAATTTTATTATTTGAAACATGACTTTGTCTTTCAATAAGTTATAATGAGACTGAAAGTAATTTGAGAAGAACAGGTTTTTCCTGTCTTTTGAGAATTTATTTCAAACTAATTCCCTAATCTGTGAGATCAGAATATTTCGTTTTATCAAATCAGTTTCTACTTGTAAACAAGAGACTTGAACACCTGCTGGGAGGTAGTTTTAGGTAACTTGGAAACTGTATTTGTGAAAAACACTTTAAATACAAAGCATTCCAGTTATGTGTGTGGAAGTTGCGTAAATCATAGGTAAAATCACATTATCACAAAATTCATGAAAAGAGTGGTCTTATAAGACTACATTATTTCAGTGTCTCCATAAAAACACACTCAATCAATTTTGTCATGGAGACTAAGCTAGGACATCAAATACATTTTTATTACATTTTGGACTCTGGGAAAATATAGTGAGTGAAAACTCCTTTTTTGCTACCTATGATGGTGAATGTGCAGATGGAAAGCAGAGAAGAAATCATATCCTTTATATGTGAAGGGTCCTTGGAGATCATCTAGCTCAGTGTTCTTGTTTACAGATGAAAACTGGAAAGTTAGTCTTTTATGGCTATTTGGGTTTCAGCACAGATTCCTTCTGCCTACGCTTTTCCCACCTTCAACTCCTCCGTAAAACTCCACATAAAAGCCTTAATTCCCAAAGTACACAAGCAAAGTAATTTAGGAATGAAAGGAGGAGGGAAAACCAGAGCATCTTTTTTTTTTTTTTTTTTGCAGTCAAAACCGTAACAGATAAGCAAGGATTCTCTAGAAATGGAAGAGAAGGCAATGCAGCCCTTAGCATAGTATATGTGGAGATGCAGAGAAGTGAAATGGCATGGCCCGCTTGGTTATGTAGGGCACTTGAAGGGTTCACCACAAGGCCAGCACTACCCAGATCCAGAGGGCCATCTGTAATTAAGAGCTTGGTTCTGTCTCGATTACCTCTAGAAGACAATGTAAGCTCTCAGTGCCATCTCAGGTTTCCCTGTTAGGAAGATTCTCTGATGGAGAACAGGGGGCCAGAGAGGCCAGCTAGGATGGAGATCAGTTAGGAGGCTTTTTTGTAATCGAGGAGGGAAGTGGTGAGACCTGCACAGAGCATCGGTAGGAGTGGAGAGGTGAAGATAGGTGGAAGTTGCAGTTAAACTTGAATCTTTGGGACATGGTGACTGACTCTGTGTGGATAAGAGAATGAGAGCAAGAAATCTAGGCTGACCCCCCAGGCTTTGGGCATGGGCCTGTGGGTAGGATTGTGCTGCTATTCACAGAGAAAGAGAGATATTTGGACTCAAAAATAGATTTGGGAGAGTTATCAGCAAACACTGTCAGTCAAATGTGCGACCCCACACACGGCAGGTGTGTAGGATCAGAGAACAGAGGAGCCTGAGTGGAACTGTCAGGAATGCTGTCATTCAAGGGAAAATGTATATAAAACAGATTGGGAATGGCCAGAGGAAGGTCATTTCATGGGAGCTGAGAGAGGAGAGCATTTCAAGATAAAGAGAATTAAATGGTTGAGTAGAAAGGGAAACAGGTTGGAAAGGTAAGACAAGGTCAGCTGGTCAGTTGTATGCTGGATTTAGTAATATGAAAGTAGCTATTGTATTTTCTGTATAACATATTTACCCTCAACATGTCATGGGGAGTAAAAAGTGAATAGGAGATTATAAAGTAGGGATGGGATGATGGTGGTTGTTGGGTATTTTGTATACAGTTGGCACTTAAACATACTTGTATGAAGGGAAAAGAGGTAAAGGATGTACAGAGAAAGAGGGAGGCATTTGGGATAAGCTCTACAATGGGGAGGTGTGGGCACGAGGAGAGAGGTGGAGGGATTGGTGTTCTCTTCTCTGAACCAGGACAGAATGACCCTCCATAGGTATCAGGATGTGTGATCTGTTCTCAGAGAAATAAGGACGTCAGACACCCTTTCTTCACTCGAGTTCCTATAGATTTGAAATATGATTTCCCACATAATGACCATTAAAGTAAAAATTTAATAATCTAAAAACTGAGGGTGTTTCCCTTCACTCTTGAAATGAGCATGCCCTGCCTGTACATTAATTATGTGCAGAATTTTTTTCTCCTAGCACAGTGTCATTTCATACCAGGCATCCAGAGAAGAAATGGGCTTCTGCCATTTCTGCCATCCAGGAAGAAATTTCACATATACCCTTTTGTACATAAAGTAGAAGTTAAAAATCCTAGTTTTATTGTTACATACACTGAGGTTAAGCTTCTGGTAAACGTGCTTTTAGGTGGAAATAATATTTCATAAGAAGAGTCATGGGGTGGTCAAGCAGGAGCCATGCTCCCATGCCCCTGCTGGCACTGTCCACCCCAGATGCTTTCAGAATAAGTGAAATAAGTAAAGTAAGTGAATAAACATGAATACTCTGAAGCCAGTCACTTCCCTGCTTTCAGCTCAGTTTCTTCATCTCTAAACTTATCAATTTGAATTGCATGTTTTTCTGAGCTCATTTTTACTTTAATATTAGCTCTAGTTTTCCTTTAATATTAGAGTCTTTCATTTCATTTTTCTTACGATGTTTCTTCAGATTTGGGGTGGAAGCAGCAGGTAGCTCACATTTTACTGGTGAAGGCATAAGAGACAATTTTATATCCAGTAACAATGTGGAATTGTTGGATCATGTTTCTAATATCGAAGATTTCCTTTGTAGAAAATCTTTTAGAGAGAGGCAGAATGAGAGCCTTTAAAATAGCAATATTATTTTTTTAAAACTGTGACTTCTAAAATGTATGAAAATGCAATTATGTTTAAAAATATATTCATATTTTTCTTAAGAAGCAACATAATTACATAAAGCAAACTAAGACGTGAACACGTTGCAGTCAGTAGTACTAATAGGACCCTGAGGCCGTGGCCTCCTTAAAAACTGAGACTCAATTTGTTTGGTTATTCCAGATGAATTATGAAATTTCTTCATTTAATTTTCCCTAGGATATTGGCTTGGCATATATAAACCACCTGGTGGAGAGAGGAGAATATGACATAGCAGCACGGTAATGATGACATTTTCACTATTATTTGCTATATAAATAGAAATGACCAAAGTTAACAATGAAAATAAGCCATTCTTTGCAGTTGACAGATTTTTTTCAGCATATTTTTAACAGAGACAGTTTTTGAATATTAATGGCTTCAACCACAGAATGAATTAATAGATAGCATTCCCCCAGCTATCTCATTGTCATCAAAGGGGGATTTTTTTTCACTATTTAATGAGAAAGGTATCAAGAACCATGAAGGTTCTGAGATTTGTAAGCTAATGGGTTAGCCTGCTACAGTTTCTTGGGTGCTGGCAGAAGACATGCTACTCCTGGGACAGAGCTAATGGACTGTGTCAGCAATAATGGTAGCCAGAGTACTACTGTAGGAGTAGCAGTAACAGGAGTATCTGCGTTTGCCCCAGATCCCCAATCCCCATTCCCACGGTGCAATGTAGAGTGAGCCAGGTGACCCTGCTCATGCAGTGGGTTGTGTTACAGGAGAGGAAACCTGCACTTAGGGTTTCTAGTGGGCAGTAAGCCTGCCTGCCCTTTGATGCAGAAGACAACATTACCTTCATTGTACTGGCCAGTAAGCAAACCTGCCCTTTGCTCTGGAGGGAGCCACCATCTGTGTCCTCTAATTTCTTGGGGTATTTGCTTTGCAAGCATCCTTGAAAGATGGTCTGGAACAAAGTGCCTCTGTTCAAAATTCAAATGGGATTGTTTCCCACCAAGAAGGTGGCAATGAAATGGAAGTGATCAGACCCCAGGATCCTGGGTTGCAGGGGTCCGTGGTAGGCAGAAAACATGAGTGTCGTGTTGTGGTCACGTGGGTCTGTGTTGGTGCTCCCACTGGAGCTGTCCAGCACCGGAAGGTTGCCTTCCAGCCTGCTTTGAGTCTCCTGAGATTATGCAAGAAAATGTGTTTCCTTTATGTGTAAAGTAAGGTTTCATTCATACATAAACAGTCCTCCAGATTATATACTATGATAGGATTCTAATTTTCAGAAATCTGACTTCGTAGTCCATAAGTTAAAGCCATCAGGAAGGGTCTGCCACTTTCAGATATGATGAATTTTCTTCAAGGCAAAAAAGGTCCTGAAACCAGCAATGCTCATCTGGGTAAACGGGAAACTCAGAACAGGCAAATAGGAAAACTCCTAATCATAGTCTTCTGAAAGAAATTCATCTTTATTTGTAAATATTTTGTATTAGTTTTTATAAGTTCCATCAACTTGTGTATATAACCAAGTAACAGTAATATCTTTATTGGCACTTGAGATAGAAATTTGTCAAAACTCTGGGAAGAGAGATTTATCTAAACCACTGGGGAAAGTATCCACTTATTCAGTCTCTGTTTATTTTTTTATTTATATTCTCTTTCTCCCTGGGATGTTTGTACTGCCAGCAAATGCCAGAAAATTCTTGGGAAAAATGCAGCACTCTGGGAATATGAAGTTTATAAATTTAAAGAAATTGGACAACTTAAGGTAAGCAAAGCTTTAAGTCTTAATTTTTGCATGTGGTATATTAATATTGAGATGGAAATAAAATTAAGATAATAGTTTTTTAGTAGCAAGAGACTATTATCAGCTGGAAAGAAAAATCAAACTTAGAAATTAGTTTCAAAATATAAACCTAGTGTAAAAAGTATATGCATATGTAATATATATTGTATGTTATAGCATTGTAATATTATATATTAAACATATGATGTTTTCACTTTCTTATCTTTTCCCAGTTCTGTGTTTAGATGAAGTTTTCATGTTCTTTTTAATAACTTTTGAAAACAGATATAATCTTATCTAATAGATTGTAAAACATGAAACTTTTTAAAAATTTGTTAAAGAATTAATGTATTTTTCAAATAATATTTTACCTTCTGGAAGCCAGACAGAAAAATTTGACCACTTGGCTCCAATGAATAATTTTGTTGTTTTATTTTTTCCAAATATTTCACCTTAGTGTACAATATCCAAATCAATAAAGTATTGTTTGTTTGAAGCATTTTTTTAGAATTTTCAGTATTTGTGGGCCTTTTGAATGCTGTCTTGGAGTTACAAATATGCTTTCAAAACTTCCCAGGTACTTGGCTAGTGAGCTCTGTGACTTCTCCTAGGTTTGCCCCATTAATGTTACTCTTCCCTTAAGGCCCCAATGACACTTCTTACTGGGGCCACTGGGCTCTCCCTGTAGGAGGATTTCATCCAGTCTTGCAGCTCCATTTACCTCGATGGCTCCATGACACAGACCTCTGTTTTGAATTGTGATGGTCCTTTCTCCTTGTATATATGCCTGATAGTGATAACTCAAATTATTATAAATGCATTTCTTTCACAAATTTGGCCCTTCTGCTTTCAGTCTGTGTTTATGACAGACAATATACCCATTCCCCAATGCTTAATAGCTTAAATCCACTGCTCTTGATGAGAACATCTTGCTCACTCCTTCCTTCTATAATATTTAATCTCCACCTCTTGTCGGTTTTGCCACACCAATACCAAATGGGCCTCTCCTCTTCCCCTCTGGTACCACTGCTTTAATCCTTGCCCAAGCCATTGCGAGTGCTTTCTGATAGATCTGCCAGCAACCTTAGCCCAAATTTAGGTGCTTAAAGAACCAAATCTAGCCAGGTGTGGAAGCTCTCACCTGTAGTTCCAGCTACTCTGAAGGCTGAAGTGAGAGGATGGGTTGAGCCCAGGAGTTTGAGGTTGAAGTGAGCTGTGAAGACACCACTGCACTGTAACCTGGGCAATAGAGCAAGACTCTGTTTCAAAAAAAAAACAATGACAAATCTGGAGGCTGGGCTGTGTGGCTCAAGCCTGTAATCCTAACATTCTGGGGGGCCAAGACAGGAGGATCTCTTGAGGTCAGGAGTTTAAAGTTGCAGTGAGCTGTGATCCAGCCACTACACTTTAGTCAGGACAACAGAGCAAGACTCTGTCTCAAAACAAACAAATGAAAAAAAAAGCAAAATATGACTCTTACCTCCCTAATATGTATTGCTTCCCTCCTGACTATTGAATCAAACTGGAATTCCTGTCGTGACCCAAGCACCCCTTCCTCTCTACCCTCATCTCCCTTTCAGCCACACGCCCCCACCCCCCACCATCTCACATCTCTGGACCCCTTGGACCTCGCTGCACACAACTGCATGTTCAGGGCTCCATGCCTTTGTTCATGTTGTTCTCCTGCCAGATGTCCTTCCCCCCCTTTCTTTGCCTGATAAACCTAGGGCTTTAGGAGGCAAGATTCTCCTCTGTTGCCACAGTGCTTTTTTAACCCTCTCTTATAATACCACATATCATTATTACTTGTTTTAATGTCTGCTTATCTTCCTTCTGGGGCTGTGAGCTCCTTGGGGATAGTGACTGCAGCTCCATGTCCCCATTACAAAGCTATGGTGTATAGGGCACTATAGGGTCATTGAACAGTATTTGGAAATTTGACTTTTAACACAGCACTGAAAATATCTGAAGAATACAAGATTTATTTTTCCTAATGTCAAAGATGATTATGAATTGTTAAAGGTTGATATACTCCAATTTAAGGAAGAAAGATGAATAGATGACCTATACTGCTTGATTACTTAACAAATTGACCTTTATAATCTCTATGACCTTCTCCTTCCTATTATTTAGATTTTCATTAATTCATCAGAAAGAACAGAGATAAAGGTTAATCTAGACAATTTTTTTATTCATTCATACATAATGCATGTGTATATACTTTTGAAAATATAATTTATTGTTAGAAAGTAATATGCCTTTGAATCTTTTCTCTTCAGAATAATTTTCCAAAGTACTCTGTTGCCTTAAATTTATAAAGTAAAAATATACTTTTGTGGTTTTTGCATAATTGGAATAGTTTTGTTTTGCCACTTTTTAAAGGATTGTTTTTTCCCTTTCCCTTCCCTAGGCTATTAGTCCTTATTTGCCAAGAGGGGATCCAGTTCTGAAACCACTCATCTATGAAATGATCTTACATGAATTTTTGGAAAGTGATTATGAGGTACAGAATTCCGACATGGTCATAATTACTTGTTCTCGATGGGAAATGTTAAGAATCAAGACAATAATACAGTGGAGCAAGAGCAATTGGTTTTTAAAGGAAACAAATTTATACTTTGCATGTGGTAGATGAAACTGAGGTAGATAAACTCTGATGATAACTAATGTTTATGTAGACAGTGAAAACACCTACTCCATGTACATTTTAAAGAATTTTTAAAGTTAGCTGCTTGATAGATCTAAAGAAAAAGGGCTAAGTACTCTTTTATGGATTTCATAAATAGAATAGCAACTGCTGTTAGTGCTTGCCCTACTCCTAAAGAATTCAGAAACTTTTAAACCCTGAGCTTCAGAACTAAGTTGACCAAAGGAGAATTAAAGAGAAATTAGAGAACAGGATTGGCAAAGCGTATTAGAAATTCTCTGTTTGCTTATTAAAGAGAAAGCAGTACATATGTTATTTGTGTACTATACACTCTGTACTTTTTATATGCATATTGCAATTTTATACTTCCAACACTGTAAGTAGTAATGTCCTAGTTTAGCAGATGAGAAAACCAAAGACTAATGAAATTGTCTAAGCCATACATTTAGTAAATAGTCATGCATGATTTGAATTTAAATTTAATGTTGCAAGCAACCAACCAGGACTATAATTTTTAACATTTGTTCATTTAGCACTCATTTATTCAGAAAATCTGTTTAGTGCCTACCGTATTCTGGAATGTGCTAGATAAGCATAGCATACAAATACAATTGGAGTGATGCCATTCAGTTGATAGTTCATATTCTAAGTCATACCCAAGCATGTAAACCAGTGGTTCTCAGCTGGAGCTGATTTTCCCCAAGGGAACATTTGAACATCTAGAGACATGTTTGGCTGTTGGGGCCTGGCAATGTTGGTCATACTGACGTTAGTGGGCAGTGTCAGGATGCTGCTAATGTCCTACAATGCACAGGACAGCCCTCTGCAATGAATGATCTGTCCTCAATTGTCAATAGCCTGAGTGAGAAACTCTATATAAAACAGGTAATTACTGTATAAATGCTAGGTACCTCATAAAGCTATGACCAAAGTGTTGCTGAGACTCGCTTCTTCCCCTCTGTCCAGAGAAAACCACAGGGTTTCTGTTGAGCAGGTTCAGAAAAGCTGGTGAGCTCCTTCTCAAACTGTGACCAATGCTGGAAGGATCCAGGAAACCAGGAGATGTAACATGTTGGACCAGCTGCTGTTTTCCAGCGTCTCCCAATTTCTGTGGTCTTTCATGGAGAGCAACGTCTTCCACTCCTTTGAAAGTTCGGGGCTTACCCATCAATGATTTTTCACTTTGATTCTTCATAACATGAAGCATTGTCATTGCCGCTTATATTTGGTGTTGTGATGATTTACAACCTGTCTTTTCCAACAGGATATGAGATGGCTTGCAAAAGGTTAATATGTGGAAATAGGCAAAGCAATCAGACTAGAAGGGGATTGAGAAAATGAACTCCTAAATGCTGAAGTACAAAGCACCTTGTTAACATACTTTTTAAACCAATATCTAATTCAATTTAAGGAGGGGTAATACAGCAAACACCTGCATTTTAATCTGTTAGATGACTTTAGATATTAAAATAGTGGTCTTTTACCCTAATAACCTAAGTTTTTGGTCAGTTACTGTCAACCAAGTGTTCCCTGGATACATAAGTCGTAAGCATCCAAATCCGTGTATCATGCTATAGTTTATTTACTTGTAAGCCTGTATTCTTAACATAGGAAGGGTCTACGTGCTTTAGCATGATTAAACTTGAACAGAATATTCTTAAGTAATTGCACATGCTAACCAGGGTGGTTTGTTTCATCTCTCTCACTAGTGTTGTGTTACAAGGTCATATGCAGTCTACTCTAGTGGCACAGAGCTGTTCCTTTCTAGATGTGTAAAGATTTCATAGTAATAGTTTCTGTCACTGACAGCCTACTAAAGGCATGGTTCCATTCGTTTCCTATTCAATTCAATCAATATATCTTTATTTGGAACCTCTGTTGTCTAGAATTGGGCTGCTGCAGATAGATCCAAGGGGGGAAAAAAAACCAAAAAACACAGTCTTAGCTTTTAACAGGTTTCCAGGCCGACTGGCAGACCATGTTAACAAGCGTAAGCAACTAGAAAATAAGTAAGGTAGAAATCTATTCTATAAGACATCTAAAGAGAGAAGACCATTATTGGCCATAATTATTGAAAAAGATTTCTTCAGCAAAGAAAGATTTATACTTTCCAGTATGTTCTCAGTACACAGAGTAGCATCATAAATGTCCTATCTTTGTACATCTTCCAAAGGAAAGAGAATTATGAGAGTGTTCTGTGAAAATGATGAAAAAAGTACAAACTTTATTTAGAACACTAAAGTATATTATTTTAAAGTAATGTAATTTAAGCATAACATTTTGTTTTTATGATTCTGTTACAGTTATTTCCATGATTCAATTCTTTCTTTTTCAAGAAACTGTTTAAATCATGTATTATCAAAGTTATCCTGTTGACTCATATCTGAAAGACTTTTGACTGAAACTGAAAGGAATAAGCCTGACTTACCCATAGAGCTTGCAGATGTTTTTCCTGCATGTTTTAGGAATCTGCCTGGTCAGTACTATTAAGGCTGTAAATAATTTTTTTAGTTCATAAACTCTTATAAATATTTCATATTTTAGCTTCCATTATTCTCAATGCTTAATTTTGAATTAAATTGTCACGTAATTGATGAAATAGCAATGTTCTGTAACAACACTTTTGATCACATAGTATGTGGATGAAAATTTGTGCTCCTAAACGAAGCACTAGAGGTGAGATTACAAAAAACAAACTGTACTTCTCTGGAAGATTATCGTGTTAATTTCTTTTGTTCCTAAAAAAATCAAAGTGATAAGATTTTCTTGGAGGTCATGATGCTTCAGAACTTATTTGTATGGGGTTTTAGTAATATGCGTATAGCTTTGCTTATTAATTTACAACCTAACAGCTGTTTAAAATAGTTAAGCTTAATATTAATGACAAATGTTTGCATGTTAAAGATGGGAAGATTTCTATGACATTTCATTTAATGAATATTTTCTGACCTTTTACTTTAATGGATACTGAGGTGTTCTATAACTTTGTTTATTCTATCATAACAGCTCCTGATGACTATGTCCTTTCATAATAATGACACAGGGTTGATTTTATCAATATTTCTTAGGTAGCACATTTATTCAAAGGTACACAAAACAGTTAAGCCTAGAGAAACCCAATGTGAAATGTAATAAATGTGTATTTCAGTTTATGGTGGGTCATCATGCTTTTATCACACAATATTACTGGTCATTTGCTTTATTTGTGTTAGAAGTTGGCATTACTGTGAAGCGTTCCATAGATAGGGGAAGAGAAAATGGGACCAAGCTTTCTTCTTTCCCTGAACAGTATTTTATTCCTAGGCTAGGGGCTACTGAAAGCTGCCAGTATTTGGGTGGAAATCTTTTCAGAGTCTTTTATGTTCCACAGTGGTAAGAAAACAGAAACTTGATCCAAAGTATCATTTTGGGTCTACGAACAATTTAATGTTCTAATTAAATTCCCTCCCCAAATCTCTAAAGTAAAATTGCAATTATGCTAATATTATGTAAAAGGTTATAATTTAAATGGAAAGTGAAAGATCTATTAGTCTGGTTTCTTACCATCCTTCCTAGGGATTACTTTAGTAGAAATTCGGTAGAACTTTAAAGGAAACTATATTCCTGATTCCTTTGTGATTTTCTTCTTACCAAATCCTGGTGCTTTATAGAAACAACTTCTATCGGACAATTTTTATTTCTATATATCATTTAAATAAATTCAGAATAGTTCATTAAAGCATTAGTAGAGTTATATAATGTTAATTTTTTTAAGTGATATGGACATTTTTACTTCTCTCTGCTGTCTTTTGAATACATTTTTTTCCCTAAAGGTTGTCAAGGATCAGTAAGTAAACTGCTCCACCATACTTTGAGTTATAAAACCTGGGGGCTTAAGTTGAGAATCAGGAGGGCAGAGACTGAGCAGGGTACTGGCCAAGAATAAGTTGTAGGAGGGAAATAGGATCACATTAAGGGATCTAAGGTTTCTGTCCGAACCACAAAACTTGAGATCCAGATATAGCCAGGATAAGGACTAGGGGATAAGACTTGAGCCAAAGTCATAAATCCCAACATAAAACAAGGGCTAGAAGTCAAGAGTGGAAGGAGGACAAAGATGGAGAGTTGTTAAAGATACAGAATGCTGGACAGTTTCACTGCAGGAGCTGCCCTGTCCCCAGCAGGGCCTCTGTGTACAGTTGTGCTGACTGCATAGTGCATAGCCAGCAGCCCAGGCCTCAAGTGCATGGAAGGTGGTGAGGAAAGTAGTTGACTTGGATAATATCTGTAAGATGTTTAGCGATATCATCTAAATGTTATAGTTAGTTCAAAATGAGGATGGAGCCAGTCAAACCTAAACTCTGTCTATGTAGTGGTGCTTTATAGAAGGAATTAGGATACCTTTCTTAGTTGTACATTTCATGAAAATAAGAACAGCAGTAGATGGCACTACCTACTTGAATGTTAAATGGAGGTTATTGCTCAGTGATGCTACCTGCTACCCTTAACCATCCTCAAATCCATAAGCTGAAAATTGGTGAAATGTTTATTGATCAAAGGTTTAATCATAAAATTATTTGGTCTGTTATGTAACTACTTTTAAGCATTGTGTAAACTATTAATATTTGGATCGTTCTATGGATATAGGAAAAATCAAACTCAGTTTCTGTCACTATACCCTCCCAACACAGAATGCTCCTGTGAGCCCCTGTCAGTAAGTAAACTGCGCCACCACACTTTGAGTTATAAAACATGAGGAGCTGAAGGTTAAGCCGATCAGCAGTGGCCAGTGATTTAATCAATCGTGCTTATGTAATGAAGCTTCCATTAAAATCCAAAAGGGACTGGGTTCAGAGAGGTTCCTGGAGAGTGGTGTGCCCAGAGAGGGCATGGAAGCTCTATGCCTCGTCCCACATATCTCGTCCTGTACATTTCTTCCACCTGGCTGTCCTTCTGTATCGTTTATAATATTCTTTATAATAAACCAGTAAATGTAGGGAAAGTGTTTTCCTGAGTTCTGTGAGCCGCTCTAGCAAATTAGTCAAACCAAAGGGGCGGGTGTTGTGGGAACCCCAGTTTGTAGCTGACCAGTCAGAAGTAAAGGTGATAACCTATTATTCGCAATTGGCAAGTATGAAATGGGGCCAGTCTTGTGGGCCTGAGCCCTCAGCCTGTGGGATCTGAGCCATCTCCAGGCAGGTAGTGTCAGAATGGAATCGAGTAGAGAGCACCCAGCTGATGTCCATTGCAGAGCTGTTTGCTTGCTTGGTGTGTTTGGGGGGGACCCCTCTCCACCCCCTGGAAGTTGGGGGCTGGGGCTAAGAAGTTCAGCCCTGTAATCCTGCCTCAGTCTTTCCTGTGACCAGCCTCCAGCCTGAAGCTCCCTGGTGGCTGCCAGCCTTACTACTCTGATGGTTCCAAGGATTTTAGGAGTTGTGTACCAGGAAGCAAAAAGAAGACCAAGTGCACATTTCACAATATCACCATTATTATTTCATTGAAAGAGTGTTCTTTTTCTGTTTTTCCCCTTTGTTTAGGGTTTTGCCACATTGATCCGGGAGTGGCCTGGGGACCTGTATAACAATTCAGTAATAGTTCAAGCAGTTCGGGATCACCTGAAGAAAGACAGTCAGAACAAGACTCTGCTTAAAACCCTGGCAGAATTGTGAGTATATTTTAGTGCTGCTTTTTTCACATCAATCTACACTGAAGAGGTTTTTATACTTTAAGATTTGGCAAACTTTGAATGGGGAGGATGCCTTTTATACTGTTTTCCTTCATTTACTCCTACTAAAAACTTTTCATAAACTTCACATGAACAATCAGAAGGAAAGGACAAGGAGTGAAACCATACAACTGTAATGTAGTCTGTTTCCCAGAGGTGAGGAGCCCTAGGCCGCAGCAGCTGGGAGTGATTAGGAAACAGTCGTTAGGAAACAGAGGGGTGCCAGGTTTCAGGCCACTCACGCATCACAGTTTCCCAGTGAGCAAGGCTCTGGATTCTGTTCTTGGATCTTCAAGTTGGTTAATCTCTCCAGTGTCAGATTCCTTATCTATAAGATCACACAGGTAACCATTACTCAAGGAATAATTTTAAGCTTTAAATGAGATGTCATAAGAGAGGACTAAGCACAGTGCCTGACACTGAGTCAGGGCTCAGAAAATGGCAGCTTGGTTAGTATCTTTCACATTTATGGGCTCTTGCAGTGACACAGGCTTTGTGCTGGATGTCCGTCCTACAGAGGTAGATGAAGCTACTCATGCTGTCAGGGAGCTTTGGTCTCGGGAAACAAGAATGGTACCGCAGGTCTATCCAAGAAGACCGTCCCCACGTCAGACTCTCCTTGGCACCCCCACCACCTGGGACCACCCCTCTCCCATTTTCTCACTTCTTTTGCCCAAAACCATCAAAGGGACACCAAAATGGCCTAGAATCCAGGACTGCATCAGACTTTCCGCAGGGGAGGCCGTGTTCGTGGCATTCTGAGTTGGAACACTAATCACTTTCTCTTGGAAGCATTGTCCCAGATGCCCCTTAGATCCTGTGGGACTGTTCATGTGGGCTAATGGTGTCATTTCAGTTCAACTGGCTTTCTGGTGCTGGCTTAGGGACTTAAAGTGAAAAACATTCTTTCAACAAAAAAGCACATTTCAATTTTATACAACCTCCTTACAAATAAGCTTTTGAAATATAACCCATTTGTCAGGTGAACACCGATTGTAGGAATTTTAACTGATTTTTCTATTACTAAAATGAGAATTTTCTTCATTATGGACTATAGTTTCTTGAATGTATGGATTTCTGTAAAACTTAGGAGGCTGAGCCCCAAATGAAGAAAATTTTTATTACTTGATATTGTAAATTTTCTGAAGTTTCAATGAGGAAACTCATTGAAAAGGAAAATTCTGAGAAAGGCATACTTATTGGTCGGGTATAGTTAGATCCTAAGGAACGTTTTTCTAAATAAAGTTAACTTTTCTCTCTGAACAAGTATTTCCATTTTAATATTGTGAAACATGATCTGTGTGTGTGTTAAATAGAGTGGTTGATGAATATTAATGAAAAAATTTTGTGTTACCAGGTACACCTATGACAAAAACTATGGCAATGCTCTGGAAATATACTTAACATTAAGACATAAAGACGTTTTCCAGTTGATTCACAAGCATAATCTTTTCAGTTCTATCAAGGATAAAATTGTTTTATTAATGGATTTTGATTCAGAGGTAATGTACTCTTTATTTTAATACTGATACATTATTTTTACTATTCCAGATTTTTAGTAATTAGACGTGTATCCAAATGCTAGATTGGTGAATCAGTCACATAGCTTGCTGTATGCAGATCATGCTTGGAAGAATCTGACCCTAACTAGATTTATTAGTTGTTTTAGTAGTTGGCATTCAGGAATCCTTTCCTTGATGTGCTTATTCTGTAAAAGTAATTGTAAATTACTGTGGAAATTAATGTAAATTAATGTGGAACTTTTAAAGGTGTGTGTATGTAAAGCAATTTCTTGGTAAAACAACTTATGTAATTCATAGAAATAAAGAAATTAGGCATATGCTTTAATCTTCATTTAACCCTCTTAGACTATGCTCCAGAATTAGAAAAGATAAGTGAACTTATGTTTTGATTCACTTATTACTATTTTATTTCTTGGCATTCACAGATCCAGCATGTGGGATTTCCATTGATCTCAGTTGCTGCTCAGGTCTAGGAGTTGTGGGATGTGTTATTTTATTACAGGATAAATTTGAATAGTGGGCTGCTTAACTAATAAGTGGTTCTAGCCTCCACAGCTCACAGTGGCTCACGTAAAGTGGTATAAACTCTGTGTGTGTTCTAAAAAAGGAATCTAATTACAAGTGCTGGTGATAGTAATAACAAGGTTCATAAAACACACTGTTCTTATTCCAAAAACAGAAATTTTAGATAAATCAAAGAGTAGAACCCTAAAGTTTCCAAAAGGATTAATGCATTTTTCAATTATATTCTACTGTATTTAGGGGTGTTACGTGCTATATTAATCTCCACAAACTTAAACTTAATTTAGATGGAAGCTAGATCTACCTCTTTTTCTCAAAGGTTCTTTAACCCATTTTTTTAAATACTGAGTCAAGTCTTTTAGAGACTACAAATCTACAAAGAATTATGTAGTTTCAAGGAAGTTCCTGTAGAGAGTCTCTGCTTCTGTAGCAGAAGTTGATTAACAGGATGAGATGCTAATACAAAAATTAATTAAATTTTCCTCATATTCAGTGTCCCTCATGCCAACCTCCCCTTTGCCCCCACCATGTGTCTCCAGAGCTTAGTTTTTGCATGTGTAGCTGTGGAAGAAAAGATGAATGAGCTAAAACTAATTGCTATTCAAGAGTATGAACGAAAGGTAAGGAATCAGAGTTTTCTGATTAGAAGAGACCTAGGGATACTCTACTCCCACAGCAAGTGTGGAGCAGACAGCTGGGAGGCAGCAAGTTGCAAGCAGGACCCAGGTGTTCTGTGTGAGCCTCAGCCTGGTGGGCTGTCTTCCCACTACCTCTTGTCATAAACTATCTAATTTGTGTTCCTGAATGGTAAAAGTGGTTAAAGTAAGTTCTAAAAGTCCATGAGCTTCATATCATTGTGAAACTTCAGGTGTCTCATTCCTTTCCTGGCTCTTGTCCCCTTCTCCATATAAGGACCAGCTCCTTATGTCTGTGAAATCTCAGAGGACAGCTTGGTCAAGTTGTAGGTATAAAAGGGAAGCTCGTTTTCATGGTACTGATAAAGAGATGCTCTCCATAACTACTGAGAGTCACGTGAGAACTTGTGAAGATATCTGAGACGTCAAGGGGCCTAAATACATATAGTCAGATTGTTTTGTGTTTGCTAAGTTATAGCCAGGCACCATTTTAGCAGTATGCAAAACACATAGGCCTCAGACTGAGACACATTTGAAAATTCATTTCTTTACAAATATCGTTTTATTACATAAGGGCCATTGTAAAGCTAAGGGCCTCTTTAAGTATAGAAAATGAGCTCTCTACCTTTGACTGTGGTAGCATATGCATGGCATTGCGTTTAGTCTTCTTAAATAGCAGATTTCAATGACTGGCTATTTTTTTATGTTTCAGAAAGCTGTTGACATGCTTTTGGACAATGAAGATAAAATTTCAGTGAGTGCTTTTTGTTTTTATGTGTGTTATCAGATGAATGTTTGGGACTACTGTAGCCATAAAGAAGAAAGATGTTTATCAGATAATTTGGCAGCTGTGTTTATGTCCTCATAACTCCACATTTAAACTCTTCTTTTTCCCTAGATTAAAAAGGTGGTGGAAGAATTAGAAGACAGACCGGAGTTGCAGCACGTGGTAAGCATGGCAGTCTCCTTCTTTTGCCCTTTTGATTGGTTGGTGGATGAATCACCCTGCAGTACTGGTGTGAGGATACTGCAGTGAACTCTTCAAGGAGGTGAATACTCAGATTGGAGGTTTGACCACAAACAATGTTTGCTAATGATTAAAATGTGACGTATACTGTGAATCTGAGGTTAGGGATTAATTCCAGATCAGGCACTTGCATTTTGACTCACAATTGAATTGTGATGGAAAAACATTATGTATATATCTATATATAACTATAACATAATATTATAATTATATATATATAATTATAATGAATATTTTTGTGTTATAGTGTGCCTAAGAGTAAGCACCCCCCCCACCCCCCGTAGTTACCATTAAGTACAATCATGGCATAAATTACAGCAAAGATAGTAGTGCTCTGCAGATACCAAGTTCTCCTGTCAAGGAAATACCATACATTCGTCTGGGTTTAGGACTACAGAGTGATAAAAAAAAGATTTGATTACTTACAATTGACCTTTATATCTCTATGACCTTCTCTTCCTATTATTTAGAATTTTATTAATTCATCAGAAAGAACAGAATAAAGGTTAATCTAAAATTTTTTATTCTTCATACATAATGCATGTGTATATATACTTTTGAAATATAATTTATTGTTAGAAAGTAATATGCTTGAATCTTTTCTCTTCAGAATATTTTCCAAAGTACTCTGTTGCCTTAAATTGTATAAAGTAAAATACTTTTGTGGTTTGCATAATTGGAATAGTTTTGTTTTTGCCACTTTTTAAAAGGATTGTTTTTTCCCTTTCCCTTCCCTAGGCTATTAGTCCCTTATTTGCCAAGAGGGGATCCAGTTCTGAACCACTCATCTATGAAATGATCTTACATGAATTTTTGGAAAGTGATTAATGAGGTACAAATTCCGACATGGTCATAATACTTGTTCTTGATGGGAAATGTTAGAATCAAGACAATAATACAGTGGAGCAGACAATTGGTTTTAAAGGAAACAAATTGTACTTTGCATGTGGTAGATGAACTGAGGTAGATAAACTCTGATGATACTAATGTTTATGTAGACAGTGAAAACACCTACTCCATGTACATTTTAAAGAATTTTTAAAGTTAGCTGCTTGCTAGATCTAAAGAAAAAGGGCTAAGTACTCTTTTATGGATTTCATAAATAGAAAGCAGCTGCTGTTAGTGCTTGCCCTACTCCTAAAGAATTCAGAAACTTTTAAAGCCTGAGCTTCAGAACTAAGTTGACCAAAGAGAATTAAAGAGAAATTAGAGAACAGGATTGGCAAAGCGTATTAGAAATTCTCTGTTTGCTTATTAAGCAGAAAGCAGTACTATGTTATTTGTGTACTATACACTCTGTACTTTTTAATATGCATATTGCAATTTTATACTTCCAACACTGTAAGTAGTAATGTTTCAGTTTATGCAGATGAGAAACAAGACTAATGAATTGTCTAAGCCATACATTTAGTAAATAGTCATGCTGTTGAATTTAAATTTAATGTTTGCAAGCACCAACAGGACTATAATTTTAAACA